GAGGTGTAAAATTATCACACTTTTGATAATTATAGAACTTTTAGGTAGATAAAACAATTTTATCAATGTGTAATCTTTCAAACATTTTCATGAATAAATTAGGTTTCAGATTGTGACAATTGTCCTTGCTAAAAAACTGGGAACATGTTCTTAGAAGTTTGCAGAACTTTACCTGAATTTGAATTTCTAATGAATGCTTTCAGGGAATTCTTAGAAAAAACTTCCCCGTGATGAAGAGTCGAAAGTAAAGAAGGAAAGTGAAGTAAAAATGAGGTTTTTAGAGTTAAAGGTTTCAAATTTCTAGTCTTCTACTAAGAAAATTTTTGTTGTGTGTGTTTTTCTGAGCAATTATTTTCACCCATTTTGCCCCGTTCATGTGTATTTCAGGTTATGTTAGGTTTAGATATTTATATAGGAATAGGAGGATTCTTTTTCACTTTATCAAAAGAGAGAGGGGGGAAGGAGGGGTATGGATCAAAAGCGCATTAAAAAAACAAAAATTTTTATTGATAATTAGCGCATTGAAATTGTTCTAGATAGAACTCTCTTGTTTGTTTTAAATTATTGGTAAGTTAAAATTTTCTTTTAGCATCCTAATATTTCTAAACTCTAGCTTTTCGAATTCTAGTTCTAAGACCAGGTTAAACCTTAAGTCATTCAACATTTAAACCCAGTTTTATGCAATTAAATTATTCAAATTTCGTAACACTGGACGCTGGAAGGAAAAAAAAAATGTTTTCAAAATGTTTTAAAGATAACAAAAACACAATTGAAATAGTTTATTTTAAACAAACATGACTTCTGAGAATGCCTTGTATGGAATAATCCCTTGGTATTTTGATGTTGATGTTGTTGTCAGAATCCTGTACATCCAAGAAAAGGTTTAGACTTGTTCTGAAAATTTTCTCAATCTAAATATAACCTCTATTCCTAGATACATTAGAATAGATTGTTTATGCAGACTACAAGTCTGAAATTTGTACAACTCTTTGTACATCATGTACTTGTCTAACAAAAAGGTCAATGAATATGTTTTACTTCTCGGGGTCAATCTGTAGAAGCCAAATTTTAACTGATAAGTATCTTGTCATTCTGAATTGTGTGTGACTGGTTCTTTAAACAAAACAATACAAAACAAAAATTTGTAAATAGTATGAACAATACTTGCCTCAACTCTTTCATTCGATGCACTGTATGGACATAGGGCTGGGCAAAGCTAGAGCCGTTAACAATTGTTGAAAATTTGTTATGTAACAGTAGTTTAATAAAAAAACGGAAAATGCTGTTAACAGAACGAACGTTCTGTTCCTAGCTTCAAAATTAACAGCTAACTGAAATTTTATTTTGTAATGCTTGAAACTAACTGTTACCGAAACGGATAGAAAAATTTGGAACGTGCCCAGCCTTATATGGACGTATGCTAGTATAAAGCTAAATTCATATTTTCAATATCAGCTCAAACACTCTGGTATGGTAAAGACGACATCTAGTCTAATTTCTCTAGGCTTCTGTTATATCCTATTATACAGTTCATTTAACTTTATTTCCCACTGTTATTGCTGCTAGTCTTATATAATAAAGTCAAGAAATAGTATTTTCACCAAGATTTGTTTTAAAAATATTTTATATACATTTTGTATCACGTCCTACTTTGTTTGTTTTTTTAATTGCAGAGAAGCTGTAGTTTGAGGGGAAAGAAATAATTTTTTGTTACTTCTTTCAGTAACATTTATTTGTACATACATTGCATTGGGTTATATTGCAACATTTGTATTTATTTAGAAAAGTGGTAATTTTATTAACTTTTCTTGAAGTTAATAGCAAAAGTCAGAAAAAATATCATTGTTTTTTATTCTTTAAACATGCATTTTTTTACCAAATTCTTTTTTATCTTGGCCGCAGATTGGAGACAATTTTATTTTGTTTAAAAATTATTCATTTGATTTCAGACAAAACAAAGAATTATGGAACAACTTTGAATAATCTCATTTCAATACCTTTTTATAAATGATAATCTATATAATAAAACGAGACATTCTAATATTTAACATAACAAAACTAAAAATTAACAGTTAAAAAATGGGAGTAAAGAACCTTGTACAATATACAATAAAGAATAAGAGAAAGTTTTTTCTGTGGGACAATAGGTCAAATACTAATAACATTTTTTGTTTCGATCCAAAAATGTTCTCATGGCCGAGAAATAAAATCAGTTAGATAATTAGATTGGTTGCATATATTTGTTAGTAATAATAATAACGATCCTGATAATCATTAAAAATAAAATAGAAAATACAATACTGATGATGATAATATTTTTATAAAACACTTTCGAGCTAAGTGTGCTAACTCAAATTTAATTATCAGCTTTAGAAAAGAGTTTAGTATTTCTCTTTTTTTCATCCTGTTGTATAAAACATTGAGTTTACAGATTAAGGTTAATGGTCTTAAAGGAGGCCAGGGACCAATAGTGTTTCCCAGTATATAAAATAATAAACATAATGTATACAATAGGGTACAGTAAAAATATAATGTACTTATAGGTTGGAAGAATACACCATTTTGAAATAGGAAGGAACCAATCTGAAACTAAGGTGTCAATTATAGCATAAGATTGGATATAGTTAATCTTAAATGTTTGTTCTCGATATCCAATGTGGGCACTTTTAAAGTTTTCCCTACAGAGTATGACCATCATGGTATATCAATAGGTCTGCATAGTATGGAGATCAATGATTGATCTCCATACAACATTCACAACATAAAAATCTTAATGAACTGAATGCGTGATTTTAAATGAGGCTTAAGCCTCCGTTTTATAGATTGTTATGTCCGATTTTACATCTTAAGCTTTGCTTGATCTAGAATGAAAAAGAAATCTATGTTATAAACTTTGAAATTTGATTTTTTACAAATGTGGTTTCTTTTTATGTGACAGTGGAGGAAATGTCTTTCACATAAAAGTTTGTTTGATATTGAAAATCTAACTTTTTAACTTTAAAAAAAATGAATATTATTTTGTCATTTTAACTTAAATTCTTTTTTATAATAAGATGTTTTTAAGTCCAATTAATCATAATAGATTTATAATCACTTTTTTAGAACAAATAACAATTTCTCAAATTTTTAATTAATTTTGATATTTTGAAAAGAATAATTTTCTCATTTAAGTCTTTCTTTCTCTCTTAATTTGTTGAGAACCCTGTAAACTGAATATCAACAACTCAGATATTTCTTTTTTAAGAAAGAATCTGTAAAAACTATCCCAAGAAATTCCAACCATCTGCATTAAAACTTACAGGATTAAATGAACATTGATAAATTTTTAAATGATGTAATGCCGTATCTTTTAACTTAATTTTAACGTTTAGCTTAATTAACTCATTATATTGTTCACTTTACACTGTACACTACAGTGTGAATCTCGGAAGTATGCACTGTGAACATTGTACGGTAAATATTTTAGTGCACATCTTGGAACAATTTTCAAATCACTAAAGCCTTTTTTATAATCTTTAATATAAAAGGTCTTTCTGATCAAGTATGAATGAAGATAACTTTGTATTTCTTGTTGAAAACTTAATTATTTTCAATTTTGGTTTCTCTTTCAAAGTGACTTGTGGATTCATGCTACCAAGACGATGATGTTGATAAATATTAGAAAAGTGATTCCACATCATTGATCAGATAAAGGGTTTAAAGGGTATCCTTGTGAATCGGTCTGATCCCTTTTAAATGGAAGGTTACAACAAATTCCAACAACAGTTCTTTAAATGCAGATTTTGTGCAAAAGAAAGTTTTGATGTTCCCTATTTTTCAATGGACTAACTCTATCCGTGGCTTGATATATTGATAATATTCTAATGTGATTGTACATGTTGTATAATGTATATGCGGACCCAAGGAAAATGAAGGATACAACTAAGAATTTTTGTTCAGAGTTATGTGTATTGAATATATAACTAGATTACCTTATACAAATAAATAAAACCAGGGAAGAGAGAATGATTACGTTCATAAACAACGTTATTTGATTACAAATAAATAAAATCAGGGAAGAGAAAGTGATTACAGTTCATAAACAACGTCATTTGATTACAAATGTATTTATTTTATCTTATGGCTGCTCTGGTTATATTAACCCATCATTGCAAATGGCGTTTTTGACCTGTAACATTTATTGAGTTGATTGGGCAATGGAATTTGCTATTATACGAGATTTCTTTTTTTGTTGCTTGAAAGCCAGAATTTTGCGAAGAAAAGCTCAAGTTTTATAAATGTTAAGAATATTTTGTTTAATCCGTTAAGCGAACTATTTGTCATTAAATGGTTAATTAATCCCCAACTCTCCAGTGAAAAATTCAGGAATGGCAAACTTCAGAGATAGAAACTCTGAAAAAGGTTAACGTCCGATAGGCAAACTCCGGAATGACAAACTTTAAAAAAACAAAATCCGGAACGAAAAACTCTGAATAGTAAAACTTCAGAAAGACATACTCTGGAATGACATACTCTGGAATGACATACTCTGGAATGATATACTCTGGAATGACAAACTCATGGAATGACAAATTTCAATTTTCAGACAGACAAATTCTGTAAGGACAAACTTCAGGCAGAAATTCCGGCAGACAAACGCCGGAATGGCAAGTTGTGAAGGCGAAAATTTGTGATGTTTTTTCTCATAATTTTACTAAACATCTTTCTTATAGTCCGATAATGTTGGTTGGATTCAATATATATTCCTGACTTTAAAGCATAGGTTTTTAGAAAAGGTTTTCAAAGAAATAAAATTGATTTAAAACCTCTTTCTCAAGAAAAGACAAAATCACAGGTTATGTCCAAAAAAGTTCAATGAGGCGAATGATTGACAACGATATTTAATCGCCATAAGCAGATATTTGTCCCAATGGAATAAAGAGTATTAATAATAAATCTTGAAAATTAAAGATCCAGTAAAATTTCGGTGAGGATTCCTTTAAAAAATGTTTTCCGTTTAGGGATTACCCGGCTGCCTATCCTTGAAGGAGAAGTATCTCACGTTGAGATCCCTAGAACCAGTTCCTGTCTAGGGATTACTATCGTCGGCGGTAGCGATACTCCTCTCAGATGTGTTGTTGTACAGGTACGATTTGATTTCATGTACAGAGTACATAGTTTACTTTATTTATAATCAATGTATGTGTACAATGTACGTACAACAGTTAATGTAGCCCAAGTTAATGTATTATTTCTTAGAATGATCTTTTTTTAATTCGGGTGGGTGGGGGGGGAGGAATAAGTTGATTTTACATGAGTTTTATTGGTTTATCTTAAATGGTTCCTGAGAGTTTGAACCTTTTTATCTAATATTTGTTGTGATTTATTCATTTTTTTAAATATTTGTTGTGGTTTATTCATTTTTATCTAATATTTGTTGTGGTTTATTCATTTTTATCTAATATTTGTTATGGTTTATTCATTTTTATCTAATATTTGTTGTGTTTTTTTTCTTCATTTTTATCTAATATTTATTGTGGTTTATTCATTTTTATCTAATGTTTGTCGTGGTTTATTCATTTCTTTGTTCTCTAAGAGGTTAAAAATTTAACCAATGAAAACTGTCTGCCAAAAACACTGAATAACATCACGCCTAAGTCAATTAAAATTATCTTCTAAGAAATTGTATTAAATAGACTGATGGTTTCATGTTGAGTTCAGGCGTTTTAAAGTTTCAAGATCCAATAGTTCCGACCTCTGGTTTGTTTAGCTAGGATGTCCGGAGCACAAGCTCACGCATATAAATAAAAACGAAATATCTATAAATCTATTTCCAATTTGTTATCAAAGTCTTTCTATTATTTTGTTCTGCTCAAGATCATCCGGAGCAAGTATCATATTGTAACATAGAGCAGAAGGGCAGATATTTATATAAAATGCAACTGGTATAAAGGCGGCGTGAAAAAATATTACAATGAGAAAAATTGAGATCATTGAAAGATCGAAATGATAAAATTGTACAGTATTCTAAAATTGATTTTGATACCTTATTGAGCGTGAAATTTTGTAATGTAAAGAAGTGTTTTTCCAGAGGTAAAAAGTTTAAATTAAGTTTAATTTAAAGTTTCGAGTTCCACGCATTCTGTCTCCGACCTTAAATATGATTATAGTCCAGACAGGAAACATTTTGTAAAATCAATACCAACCCTACCCCACCTCGCTCCTTACTCCTTCAAACCTCCACCCTTATCCGTCCTTACTTCTTCACAACTCACTTATGTTATTCCCTCCTCTTGAAATTCCCTTCTTCCATAACACTCATATTGCCAACTCCTATTACTGTGTTACATTGCTTTAATAACATTCCCCGGGGTTCGTGGGAGACAAGCTATTGGTTTAGTAGTGGGGGGAGGGGGGGGGTCTAGAACTAGGATTTTTAAAGTTTTCATATTTTGTAGAAATGATGTCTTCGATTTAATACTTTTTCTGGGGTTTGACTGTTTACCAGGAAAGTAAAATAATTGAAATTGTGTTTTCAGAATTTAGAATGGAAAACGAAATGAAGAAAGATGTGATACGAAAAATTATTTTTATTGAGACTGAATCACTTGTTTTTCAAGTTCCAGGGGAAAGGGTTTAAATAAGTTTTAAGAAAATTGTATTTTTCTGTCCCTTCAAGTATTTAAATCTTGATGATATTTGAAAAAGGATAAAAAAGATTTTAACAATATTTGAGGAGAGATCACATAGCTTTTCATGGGATTGTTTTGAGCAAAAGAAATGGAAAAAATGAAAATAAAAATATGGAGATATGTTCAAAACATCATTATGTTTTTTTAGATTTCTAAGGGACTGTAAGCGTAATGTTAAGTGACCCTCCATGCAATTATGGTAATGCCCGATTTACAATGCTACCCTTTAAACCCCTCATTAAATAAAACATGTGGAGGATACAGTTGTTTTTCTGAAAGATAATTTCTGTTAGTCTCTCTATTGGTTCTTAGAACCAAAAAATGGACAAGTCACGTTCGCAAATGAAACTAATTCATACTTTATCAAACAAAGCTTTCAAGGGTACCTTTGTAAATCTGGCCTTGCCATCTTTGCATGGAGGGTCGCTTGAAACTACGCTTACAGTTCCTTTAAAACAAAATATATTTTGTCCATGAAAATGTCAAATGAATCATGATGCCAGATGTGTGTGTTTTTGTTGTGCCAAATAATCTAAAATTGCACTTTTTTTGCTGCTAAATTTTCTGCATTGAACGTATTTCACTGAAGCATAAATTTTCTATAAACAATAAACAATGTTAAAAAAATCAAATATTCCTTCACTTGTTAATATGAACTTGGTTCCAGCTTCAAGTTATTACCTTTCTGTGGACAGAACACGCCCTTTTTTCTTATGAATGTTTTACATTTTCTAAATTTAGAAAAAAATTAATTCAATTAATTATTTAAAACTCCTTTCAGTTAAACAAAACATTGAATTTTGAAATTAGAGTAAATGATTGAATTCAACATTTATTATTAATTGGTTAAGCTTGCCTAATTAGCTAATCAACTTATAAATAGTCAAATTATTAAAATTGACACTTTCTGTTTGGTTAGTTAAAACAAAACAGCTGAACCGATCCGGTCCAAATTTTGACGTAAAAGCTGTAATGGTCGGACTGCAATAGTTTAAAGCCAATTCAGTCCATTAATATTTTTTTTAATTAATTTTGAATGCTTAATATATATTTTTATAGTTTAATTCAATGATCAAAGAATAATAATTGTATTTAAACTAGAAAGAGTGTTGCCTCAAAAAAGTAAATTTTTGTTTATCTTGGGATTTTTTGTTTATCTTCATAATTGTCTATAACTTAATAGTGCTCAACAACATTTAAAGGCTTCTGAGCATTTTTGATACATGTTTTCCCATTAATTTTACCTCCAAAAAACTGGGTTTTTTTAAAATTGTATTTCCTAACAACAAAATAGAGAAAAAAATATTTTTTTAGAGAGCTGAATGATTTTTATGCGAACTTAACACAAAACACATCTAATTTTTATTAAAGGGATTTTCAACCCGACAACTCATATTGTTGGTTTCAGAGCCTGTCTATTTTTTAAAAAAGGTTTCGTATTCCAACATATTGAATCTGAGAGAAATTTAAAGATTTTTTAATGCAAATTTTTTTTTTTTGCGATATTGGAGAGAAGTTATAAGTATTCTTATTATTAAAAATATTGTTAGATCTTCACTTCTCTGTATACCTGTCATTTACACACACCTGCTAAAAATGTCTTCTCACAAAAAATATCAGCTTTGCAACTAGGAGAATAATTAGCTATTAAAAATGTTAATTTTTATGGGAATATGCGGAGGGGGGGGGGGTCTTGCCACGAAATAATTGTACAGATAGATTTTGTCTTTTATCATGTAAAGCAATGCAAACCTCCCTCTTCTCTAACCTCCAGTTGCGCCTGTTTGTGGGCTTAGATCTTGTAACATGAAATTAATTCTCGAGAAGGCTGTTATTGATATTGTAATTAAGACTAAGGGATGGAAACAACAAGAATTTATAAAAACAAAAATAGATAATTTTTTTTTTGGCACCCCCTTCCACTGCTATTCTATCCTTAGTGAACTTTTTTTTTAATCTTAAAAATTTATTTTTCTTTCCAAAATTTTTCTTTTACTTTACAAAATCTTTTTATCTAATATTTGTTGTGATTTATTCATTATTTAAGGGAAAATTAATGGTTTTTAAGGGAAAATTAATGGTTTTTAAGGGAAAATAAATGAATTTTTGTGGATAAAGAATCTAAAATATGGAAAAATATTGCCTATATGATGTTAATTTTTTACCCCCCGAAAATCAAAAATCTTATTCTTTTTAATGAAAGCTTTCAATTTTCCTTGTTTTTGTCATGATTATTTAACTCTTGATGACCACAATTGCAGTATACTCATGCAATAAGTCTTGTATGGCACGCTTTTTTATAAAGATCCCCGGTTAAGTAACAAATGCGAACTTTAGAGAAAAATAAAGTTATGATCAGACATTCAAATAGACAAACAGAGTTTAATTCTTTATTAATATTGATACACATATATAAATGCCTAATTCAGATGACTTTCTTGTGTTCATTTAAAAAAAAGTTTTTTCTATTTCTGTCTATAGTTGTATCCTCTTAGTCTCGTGGGAACGAAAGAATATATCTGTATGGATGTAAAGTAACATTGAACTTTAAAATTAATAAGTTTTGTTTCTGAATTATATCTCTACCCCCTCCTCTATATTCCCTGATGTCACATTTTTCACAACTTTTCTGTCGAAATATGTAGAAAAGTGTCAAATCATGAGAATTTTGGATATAAAACCTCGTCCTCCAGTAAGCCCCAGGAGAAGCCTGGAGTCGGTCTATTTGTGGAATTCTTCTTAAATTTGTAAAAATGACCAAGTTTCACACGGGAAGTTGGAATTTAGAGGATTAGCATAATTTGCCCAAGTGGTATTCTACATTCTTAGACTAACAGATAGAGGCATCTCTACATAAAGCCTGCTTCACAGTGAGCCAGGGATGAGTAAAACCCAAAAAGTGTGTCATCCTATTTTTTTGTATTTTTAAAAAGTTATTTTGGAATAAAAAAAATTGTCCTAGAGAAATTGTTTTTAAAATTTTTCATTAAATTTTCGACTAATTTTTTAGTATAGAAAATATTTTCCAATTAATTTCTGCAGTAAAATTATTTTTTTACTAAATAAGGTTATGCATATTTTTCTATTTATAATAAAGGTGATTTTGAATTTTTAGCCAAAAACATTCTTTTGCCATAAGAAAATTGTTAATTCCTTGTTCTCGGTTTTTCACTTACCCTAGATATTCAAACACAACTATTTGTCAACAAATGTTGCGTCAACAAATGATGTAAGTTTAAAAATATTTTTGATGAATAAAAGATTCAAAGCCGTGTTTCCAACAGTTCCATGAAAAGTTCTTTAAAAATCGGATTTGCTGGAATTATAAAATTCTAAAAATCAAAAATCAAACAATTTGAAATAAAGAATTTGATTTCTCTTGATTCTCCTGAAGCTGAACTTATTAAAGCTAATTTTAATTCTTCCATTCTTTGGAAAACCAACATTTCATCTTTCGAAACCAAAATTAATCTATTTTCAATAGATTTAATCTTCTCTTTTGTACAGACTTAATCTTCCTTTCTTTAAAGGGACTGTAGATATCAGCGTTTCGGATCCGTATCATTTGGTCGGATCCGGATCCGTATCAGGAAACGTTGATATGGATCCGGGTAGCGCCAAAAATTAACCAAAACCATGGAATAAATAAATCAAAATGGTTCGTAAATGTATTATTTACATGACGAAAATTTTTCAAAATTATCTTTAATAATTTAATGTTTACATTTATATAATAGTAATGACGACATTTTTAACTTTAGGATTACTCAGCGGCAAATGCTCACATGGCGCAAATTTCAAATATATAAAGTATTCATTTTTAAAAGATGAACGTGATCGGAACAAGCTAGGGCTGAATTAGACTATATTAATTATTAATACATCGATATAATTAGTTTAATTAGTTTAACTAGTTTAATTAGTATAATATAGTTTATAAATTATAACCTTGCATAACATTTAATAAGGAAAATCCGATTCACAGAATCAAAAGTTACCTCGGATCCGGATCCGTATCAGGATCCGGATCCATCATCACGGATGCGGATCCGCGGATCCGGATCCGCATCAAAATGATACGGATCCGAAACACTGGTAGATATAATTTCAATTTACCCTCAATTTATACCATGTCATGTTTAATTCACAGGGGTACCTTTTAACCCGTTATCTCATCCATCATATTTAATGAGGAAGAAATTGTTGTAATTCTATCTAGGAAGTGTTGAATTCTGACAATTTTATTCTTTCACTAATCCGCGAGTTAATTTTCAAAAAACCCGCAATTGAAAATAAATGAATAGAAAATTGGCGGAACATTAACCTTTTTTAAAAAAGTCTCAAAAAACGTCTTTTGTCATTTTTTCGTCTGGTTCTCTAGTTCTCAAAAATATAAAAATTAAAAAAATCCGTTGGGGATTTTTTTTACTCATCAGTTTTGTTTAGGTTAAGAATTAAATAGTACTGTTGTGAATCGGAAATGCCACATAAATTAAGTGTAAATTATGTCTACATTTCTTTAGACTTAATCTTTTTTTCTTTAGAACAAATCTTTATTTTCTATAGACTTAATTTTTTTATTTTTAGTAGACTTAATCTTTCATCTTCTTCAGTCTTAATCTTCTAATCCTTTTCAGACTTAATCTTTCTTAATTTAATCCTTATTTTAAATAAACTTAAAATGCTTGCTTAATTTGTTTTATCTTATCTTTTCTATCTACTTCACCTTCCTTTAATCTTAGTTTTCTTTAGACGTAATCTATTCTGTAGGTTTAATTTTAATTCTTCTATTGTCTACAGATTTAATTAAGAAGTTTTAATTTTTATAAACTTATTTGCTTTCCTCATTTTAATAAATTTTCTATTTTTTTTTGGTGGAGGGGGGGGGGGTCACACACTTCAGACTTCATTATTATTCAATTATATTATTTTTTAGTGCAAATGTTTTAATCATGTGCGGTCACACAAAAAAATGTTTAGAAATATATACATATAATTAAGCTATAAAATGTTTAGATATATTTTTCATTTATATTTGTCTAAAGCAAAATTACATTAAACGATATAAAAGTTTACAAACAAATACTCTTTTCTCTGGATATCGCATTTTAAAATTTTAATAAATTTTCTATTTTTTTTGGTGGAGGGGGGGGGGGTCACACACTTCAGACTTCATTATTATTCAATTAAGCTAAAAAATGTTTAGAAATAATTAAGATAAAAAAATCTTTTTTTTCCTTTCTTAAAACTTCAAATGTTTTTTGTCTCAAAATTCGAAGTATTAATTTTAGAAAATTCCACGGGCAACGCCCGGCACTAAAGCTGGTTATGTAAATTGAAATACATATAATATACATTTAATACCCCTTAATGATTTTTATTACAATCTGTATTTTCTGTGGTAATTAACATACTAATCTTTTTACTCTTAATGAAGACTTATAATTACTTACCTAGCTCAGTCCTATGGGACATTTTAAGTTCAGGGGTAACAATTTTCTTTAATAGTCAAAGATTTATCCATCGAATAAGCGCTCAAATCATGATTTTTAAACATCAGTCTAACGAGTTGCCGTGAAAAAAAAACCAATTTTTAAGAAACTGAATTTATTCCAATTTTCAGTTATAACACTTTCCAATTCAACTTTTTGTAACAGTTGCTACTTTCAGTTTTATTCTAACTAATAAGAAAAATAACATTTTTTTGTTCAGGAAGTGTTCCCTGATGGCCTTATTTCCGGTGATGGTCGTCTACAACCCGGAGACCAGCTGATAGAGATTAATGGTGTTGATATGACATGTGCTTCACATGCTCAGGTTAGATATTTTGATATTTTATAATTCCGATCATCGCAACAATAAATCTCGGTTGAAATTGGTTCCTGTCACTTTTTTAAATGTTGAATATTTATGTTAATCGTGAAAGTTGAGAATATATTTTTGGTCAATATTGAACTTAAGGAACTGGCAACGTAATTTAAAGCGACCCTTTTATTTGCAATGTTGCCCTTTAAACCTTTATCTGAGAAACAATGAGGAAAAAATCGTCGTTTTTGGAAAAAGCCTAAATTTGACAATTTTTTTCATTGGGTCGGCTGCTTAACTCCGCAGGTCACTCTTTTGAAAATTTTAATTCACTGGAAGAACGGATATTTTTAACAACTTTGCTCAGACAAAGATTTAAAAAGTTAAAAAGAGAAACAATTTAAATTTCGTCCGCAGTCCCTTAGCAAGCTAAGAAAAGAGCAAATAGTTAAAGTTAAGAAAATAAATCTGCGTGATATTTGAGTTATTTTCTTCTTAGATCAATTACTCTTACTGCAAATTGAATTCTTTAGAAGTTTGTGATCAACTTTCAGAAATATGAGATTTTAGATCTCAGAATTTATATTTATATTTTAACAGTTCTTGGCTGTACAACAAATGTTCGACTTTTTGTGATGAAAATTTGGAAGAGGGATATATATATAATGTGTGAAATAAAACATCGTTTTGGTAAACTTTGATATAAAAGTAGTTGCGCCATTTTTCTTCCAAATATTTGAAAAATTCAGGCCTAAGAGACGGTGGTATTTTTTTTATTTTTTTTTTTTTGAAAGGTCTTAATCCAAATATTTGTCCAGGTATGTGCTGCTCTGAAGAAGATGAGCAGTGTGCTGCGGTTAGGAGTGTACAGAGAGAGAATAGAAAAGTACGGGATCTACAATTCAGGCTCGAAATCCGGATCCGGATCCGGATCCGGAACCCGGGGTAGTGTGGGAGGGGGAGGAACCCAGTCGGAACAGATCCTTACAGTTACGCTAGAACGACAACCGGGACTTCATCTTGGCATTCGGTAATTTTCAAAAGTAGATTTTTTAATTGAGTCACTCATCCTTGAGTGCATTTTTTCATATTAGATACTAGCTGAATTGCCCAGCGTTGCCCGTGAAATAAAAAATCAAATTATTTAGCCTATGTTACCCCCTAGGATACCCATGGGTTCCCTCAAAAAATTTCAGCCAAGTTGGTCCAGCCGTTTTGCCAGCTATGGCTAACATATATACCAATAAATATATAAATATGCGCGAAGAGCTTTATTATATATAAAAAAACAAAGGGCAGAAACAGAGGGTTTATTAAATCACTATCACAGGCGAGTATTATGTGCAATGTGCATTGGTAGGAATTGGAGGTTTTTACAATTAAAATAAATTAAATCAATAAACCAGAGGCTTGGAAATTCTGCTAATTTAAAAGTTACAAGCTAAGAATCAGATATATGTACGTACATATTTACAGTACACTGTACGTGTGTACATTGTGTTCAGGACAAAGTATGGGTTTCAGTTTGTCCACATATTTTTGAAGATTAATTTCCCCATCAAGTTCCCCTGGATAAAATTTTCTTAAAGGGACTGTAAGCGTAATTTCATGGACACCCTTAAAAGTATTGTTTGATCAAGTATGAATTAGATATCCATTTTTTTCTTTAAACTACTTATTTTTATTTGCGGTTTCTCTGCGAAATCAACTTGCGCATTTCCGGCAAAGGATAAATAATCAGAATTAAACATTTTTTGAGTCCAAAAAAAGACACTGTTCTCTACATTATTGATTAAACTAAGGTTTCAAGTTACAGACAACAGTCCTTTTAAATTGTATTTTCATGAACATATAACAAACAAGATAAGTGTCCTCAATGATAAAAGCACTATGGGATAATATACAGCTGTTCTTGAGGTTTTTACGAGACAAATTATTCTTTGATTTTCACAATTTAAAACTTACAGAGTATTAAGGAGTAATACAGTGAAAACCAGAAAATTCTGGAATATGAAGACGACTTTTATGCTCAAGATATGACTTTAATAGTCCAATGAACAAAAGACACGGCAATATTTTTTAGGTAATAATTACTTACTAGTAAAACTATTTGCCTTGTAAAAGCATCAAATAAGTATTGTTTTAATGTCGTCTTCGTATTCCACAGTTTTCTGATTCTAACTGTATGAACTGAAAAATGGAGGTTATTGTTTGTTTACATTCTACAGAGAGATCATAACTAGTTATGTAAAAATCCCGAATTGGTTAATAGAGTTCATTATCTGTAGGAAATATGTTTCGATGTTTTTTTACATCATCATTGTAGGACACAACAGATTTTACTAATAATTTATAAAGTAATTAAATAAATTTTGAAATTAAGACAACGTATTTATGAGAAAAGAAATTTAACAAATTATTGGTCAATCTTAAGAATGAGAAGCTTGTTATGAAATAAAATATGAAGATAAGATGTTAAAGAGGAGAGAGGGTAGGGGGAGTTACGAAACATGAATGGTGTTCCCGGCAAATATGAAGTTGCAGGATTGGTCCCACAAGTCGGATTAGAGTTGAGAAGTGGGCTGAAATTTTGATTTTCAATTTAAAGTTAGTTGAGAAAATTATCTAAATCTGAACTCAACTTTCATTAAAGTTAGTCTTTCATCTCTCTTCTGGACAATCATTCATCTATTCATCAATTCATCCTTTTATTCATCCATCCTTTCTTCTTATATTCATTCTTTCTTCCTTTTATTCATCCATCCTTTCTTCTTATATTCATTCTTTCTTCCTTTATTCATTCTTTATTCTCTTATTCATCGTTTCTCATTTAACTCATCCTTTCTCCCTTCAATAATCCTTTTTTCTTTTATTCATCCTTTCTCTTTTCTTATATTCTTTCTTTTTTCTTATATTCTTTCTCTTTCCTTTAAATCTTTTCTTCTTTTATTTATTATTTCTCCCTATTCATCATCTCTCCTTTCATTATCATTCTTTCTTTCATTAATCCTTTCCTTTTTGTTCATCCTTTCTCTAATCTTTTATCCTTTTTTCTTCATCCTTTTTCCTTTCATTCATATTTTCTCCTTTAATTGATCTTTTCCTCTTTAATTCATTTCTTTCTCCTTTTATTCATAATTTTTCCTTTCATTAATCCTTTCTCCTTTTATCCATCCTTTCTCCTCTTATTCATCCTTTCTCCTTTTATTAATCCTTTCTCCTTACATTAATCCTTTCTCCTTTTATTCATCCTTTCTCCTTTCATTCATCAACATATTTAAAAAATTTCAATATTTTTTTTTCATTTATCACCTATTTCACTTTTTTTTTATCAACTATTTCACTATATTCTTCATTTGTTCACTATTTCACTATTTTCTTCATTTATCAATCATTTGACTATTTTCTTTATTTAAGTAACTATTTCGCAATAAATTCTTTATTTATCACCTATTTCCAATGTTTATTCTTTTATTAACTATTTCACTCTACATTAATTAATCGAAGTAATGCATGAAATTTTTATTAAAGACAAATTATTAAAATCGTGACTTCTGTTTTTAAAGGGACTGTAAAAGAAGAATGAAAGGGGGTATAGGATAAAATCTGAGAATCTCAGGCGTTGAACGATACATATAAGACATCTATCTGATGTTCCTGTCTCGAGAAATCTGTGTCAAAATTATACGAAAAATCGTATAGATACAATTTTGTATAAAAGTAGTAGGTTAAGACAGAAAATACGCAACCAATCTGAAAACCATTATATCCCACAGGAGCCTGAGAATCTCAGGTTTGCTCCTATTATAATTTTTTATTTTTATTTTGAATTTTTAATAGTTATAGCTAATAATATTATTAGATAATAGCCCGGCTTTGCCCGTGGAAAAAAATATATGAAAAAAAAAACTTTGAAATTTTTCTAAACAATTGAAAAAAATCAATTCGAATTTGTTTAGCCTATATCACCCCCAGGGTACCCATGAGTGTCCACAAACAATTTCAGCCCATTTGGTCAAGCCGTTTGGCTGGCTGTAGGGAACGTGTATACGAATGTCTTAAAAATATTTCTGAAAAAAATATTATGAAAAAAAAAACATTTTTAATTTTTTTAACCTATAAAGCCTCCCATGAGTGTCCACAAAAAAAAACAGCCCAATCGGTCCAGCCGTCTGGCCAGCTTTACGCAACATATACGAATGTCTTGTTTTATTATATAGATTGTCCATATAGTCCGTATTACGTCACCAGAACTTCAGCCAATGGCAGTGCAGTATACTGGCCACGAAAATCACGTGACCAGTATACTGCACTGCAATTGGCTAAAGTTCTAGTGACGTAATACGGACTATATGAAATAATATTATCAATTATATCTTATTAAAGATTATGATAGAAGCAAGCCTGAGATAATCAGGCTCCTGTGGGATATATTCGTTTTTAGATTGATTGCGTATTTTCTGACATGATCTGTTTAACAATTGATCTCTGATGATTTGATATATTTTATAATTGACCACTGATGATTTGATTGATATAATTGATCACTAATGATTTAATTGATTTTATAATTGATCACTGATGATCTGATTGATCTAGGATAAGTGGAAGCTGCCCTGCTCCTGGCATATATATAGTAGAGATACTCCCAGAATCAATTACAGCCCTAGATGCCCGGATCAAACCATTTGATCGTCTTCTCTCGATCAATGGTACGGATGTCCGGGATTGTAAAATATCCAAAATTATATATATCTGTATATATATAGAAATTACAAAATTTGTATGATATATTTTCGCTATATATATAAAGAGATGTATTATATATTACAATATTTGTTCAATATATTTTCGCTATATATATAAAGAGATATATTAGATATATATTCAAACATTTGTCTAATATATTTTCTGTATTAAATTCCATCTTGAGAGGATGACATTTTATTCAGTAAGACGTACAATAAGACTAACAGACATTATTTATATTAAGTTTTATTTAAGATAAAATAAAATTTACCCCTCCTGCACTAGAATGGGTAGATTATTCCCCAAAGATGGGAAGGGGAAGATTGGTGATAAAAATATTGTTAAATCCACCCCCCCCCCCCNTGCAGTATATTATATCCTTGCAGTATATTATAACCTTGCATTATATTATATCCCTGCAGTATATTTAAATCCCTGCAGTTTATTTATATCCTTGCAGTATATTATATCCCTGCAGTTTATTATATCCTTGCAGTATTTAAATCCCTGCAGGATATTATATCCCTGCAGTTTATTTATATCCCTGCAGTATATTATATCCTTGTAGTTTATTTACATCCCACCAGTATATTATATCCATGCAGTATATTATATCCCTGCAGTATATTATCCCTGCAGTATATTATATCCCTTCAGTATATTATATCCCTGCAGTAAATTATATCCCTCTAGTGAATTATTGTCATAAACAACTAGTATTTGATAGATATAAATGAAGTACCCATTGTTCACATCGGAATTTCCCTATATTGACTAGAATCCGATAAATCCAATAAAAAAATTCCAAAGCTCTAGAAAACAAAACAAAAAATACTTTATTTGAACATATTGGACGGCTGATGCCTGAAATATTTAAATACAAGCTTCAAGTAAAAATTCAAAATTTGTAGAAGTAGGTAGAATCTTTCCTTATGAATATTTTATCCATGCATCTATACTTAACACTTCAGACGGGAAATTGAGACTAGAGATGGGGAAATTGAGAATAGGGATGGAAAATTGAGACTAGAGGTTGGGAAATTTAGAATAGGGATGGGAAATTGGGATTAGAGAGGGGGAAATTGAGAATAGGGATGGGGACATTGAGCATAGAGATGGGGAAATTGAGAATAGGAAAGGAAAAATCGAGAATATAGATGAGGAAATTGAGAGTAAAAGATGAGAAAATTGAGACGAGAGATGGAGAAACTGAGAATAGGGATGGGAAAATTGAGACTAGAGATGGAGAAATTGAGATTAGAGATGGGGAAATTAAAAATACGGATTGGGAAATTGAAAATTGGGATGGGGAAATTAAGAATAGAAATTGAAAATTGGTGGTAAATTGAGAATAGAAATGGGTACATTGATATTAGGGATGGGTAAATTGATATTAGGGGTGGGGAAATTAAGAATAGAAATTGAGAAATTGAGAATATGGATGGGGAATTTGTGAACAGAAGTGGGGAAATTGAGAATATGGATGGAGAAATCGAGATTAAACATTGGGAAAATAGAGATTTAGGATTGGGAAATTGAGATTAGGGATGGGAAAATTGAAAATAGGGATGGGAAAGTTGTGAAAAGGGATGGGAAAATTGAGACTAGGTATTTGTAAATTGAGAATAGGTATGGCGAAATTGAGAATAAATATGGGAAATTGACACTATAAATAGAGAAATTGAAAAGTATGACTTTCATGGGAATATAGAACTAAAACTAAAAATCTTTTCGTGTGTGTGCTGAAATATCTTATTTAGAAAAGTATTGAGTATTAATAGTATTTATTTCTCAAACGTCTTTTCATCAGAATAAAACAAAAATTATAAATATATTTGATGAAAAAAGTGACATATATTTAGTTTACGAGTTTTTGTATTTCCGTAATATGAATTGTAATTTTGTTTTAAGACAAATATAAATGATGAATATGAATAAAACTGCTATGTATGTAAAGTTTGTACTGTCCCTTTTTCCTTGTACAAAATATTTTTTATCTGTTCGGTTTCCTCTTGTAATGTACCAAACCAAACTTCTTTTGTTGATTCAATCTTTGTAAATCTGCTAGGGTAAGGGGTCTCAAATATCAACGCGGTGAAGGGGGTCTGCATTTCCATGTAAAACTTTTCCTTCCCAGTATTTTTCCTTTTTTCTACTTCATCCCCCCCCCATCCCCCTCCCACAAGATAGAATGATATTGAATGACCCCTGAATCTAAGTCTGGCAACTTTGCATTATATTCTATTTCTATTCATTCTTGTTGGCATAAACATTTTTCTCTTTTCAATTCAATTCCTGTCTAAGAAGTGTCTGTTTTCCCATTATTCAATGCTTGTTTTTTAAATATTCATAAGTTTCTAGTTCGATCAATTTAGGTTTTTTTTCTTCTGAGACCACCCTTTAAACACTGATATTATATTTTTTTAAAGATTTGGCTTAATTTTATTTATTTCCCCTCCCTCCTCTTTCTCTTACAGAATCCAAACTTTGGTGTAAGTATACTTCGTTAAAGTTAATATTGTATAATTGTGAAGGGTCAAATTTAAGATTAAAATTTAGAAGATGTATAAGTTAAAGAGGTTGTATACGTAATTTTAAGGGACCTTTTATTTATTGCATGTCATGTCCGATTCACAACAGTACCCGGCCTCAAAAGCTGATGAATAATTTATTTGATATGAAATTTATAACTGATAATATTCAAATATGATTTCTTTACAAAAGTGACTTTGCACTTCTGCTGTAGGAAAACATAATATTATGAGAATTTAACACTCTCTAAGCTAGAAAAACGACGTTATCTTCCACGATTATTGATAAGATGAATGTTTTGAGGGTACTGTTGTGAATCAGGCATACTCAGCCTTAAAAGAAGGGTCACTTAGAATTCCGATGGCAGTCCCATTAGAGGAATCTCAAAGTTGTCTTTTTTGTATCTTAAAAAGGTTTTTAATTCTGATAATTTCATCAATTGTTTGAGTGGCATAAATCTGTAAACCACCTTTTTACAGAAATTACAATTGAGAATTTTCAAATTGATATTATGATTATGTTACTCTGTAAATAAAGGGTCACATGGAATTATACAAACAGTCCCTTTTAAATATATTTGATATTTTTAAAATTTTAAATAATGTTTGTATTCTGTAGAACAATGAGAAGGTTGTACTGGTGGTGGCTCGGAAAAAAACTCAAAAGGTAAAATTCTTAAAATATAAATTATTAAATCAAAAACATGAAAGGAATCTCTAGACTCTACAGAATGTCAAGTTTTCTTGCAGAAGTTTGAGTAAGCTTTTGATGGGTAAATTTAATAATATTAACGTGTACTTACGCAACCAAAATATTGCTACAAACCAGCTAATCTAGGGATTCGAATAAATGCAAAAAGGAAAAAAATATGTGTTCACGCAATGTAAACATTTGATGCTTCAAATGCACTCATCAATCATTAAGTAAACTAAATTAAGGTTTGAAAATATCGTGTTGATACCATATATAAAAAATATTGAAGAAGAAAAACTCCATAAAAAAAGAATTTCTTTTATATAGTTTTAGTTTTTCCTTTATTGGGAGTTTATTGAGAAGAAATTTTCAACAAATTAAAAAATATATTATTACCACGTTTTAGCCTGCAATTGATGAACCGGATGGTGTAGCAGCAGAGGTGGGTGAAAACGGATCCGGGCACGAAAGTTCTCAATCCGGATATCCGGGTCCACAATCTCATCCGGGTGTTCAGCTCTCTCATACTAGATCTAAATCCGCCCCAGTTCCATACTCGAAGGTAATTTGGGAAAAACTAAAGGAATACCAAAGACTTTATTATAGGTGATAGAACAGGACCATAAACGAGAGAAAACAATAGACAAACGACACAAGCGCCAGACAAACGTCAGACAAACGTCAGACAAACGTCAGACAAACGTCAGACAAACGTCAGACAAACGTCAGACAAGCGTCAGACAAGCGTCAGACAAGCGTCAGACAAGCGTCAGACAAGCGTCAGACAAGCGTCAGACAAGCGTCAGACAAACGACAGACAAACGACAGACAAACGACAGACAAACGACAGACAAACGACAGACAAACGACAGATTACCGACAGATTACGAAACCTAACGACCAAGAAAAGACAAGCTGTAGACAAGTAATTGGACAATAGTGAACAAAATGAGACTAATTGCAAATGACGGACAAAGGTAATGTTGTGTATGACATACCGACAGAAAATGTTGAATACCTTCATTTTTATGATTTTCGTTGTAGGGTGAGTCAGATACAGATACTGGCAGTGAATTCAGACAAAGCTTTACAGGAACACAAAGCAATTAATTCAGCCATTTTAGAAAAATATTTTTCTCATTTTATTCTTTTATCTACATATATTTTAGGATTTACTGATCATAGATTTTTCAATATTTTGTTCAACTTTCAAAGAATTTCGAATCTCCAAAACTTGTGTGTTCAACATTGAAAAGTTAAAAATAAAATTGAAGAGTAATGTTTTTAAAAAGTTTTATGATTTTCTCTCAATTTTCATGTTCATCTAACCTTCATGAGATCACAGTGGTCCAAGGGTTGCCACATTTCATTCAAAAACAAAGAAAATTTAGCCAATTACTTCTTAAAACCGAAAGCTAAAAATAAGCTTTAAAAAGTAAATATCCAGAAAAATGTAAAATGTTCACGAAAATAAAAAGTTTTTGTGATATTCAGAGTACTTAAGAACATTCCTAAGCCCCCCTCTATCCCTTTCATAAATAAAGTTATGCATAATGCATGTACGCTTTATGAATGTATGTAATATGTATGCAGCGTGGGTATTCACTATTCAAAACCCTGTGCTGTAGTGTAATAAGCCGAGATGTTATTTACAGGATCTATTCCTGAATCTTGATATAGGATATCATTATTACATTTTCATATTTTTCCAATAGACTAGATTATTATAGCTGTTATTCGACCCTCGCATTACCGTACAAAGAGAATTAATAGAACAACATCTAAAAATAAATTTAAAGATATTTTTTTATGCAGAAAAGATTGATGGTCAGATTTTCTTATTTTTACAAAGAACCCCCAGGTAGTTTAAAAAGTAAGAACTCAGTGAGTCCTTCAGTAAAAATCCACGGGAGTCCCAAAGTAAACCCAACAAGAGGTAACAAGTAAAAACCAACGGGATTCTGAAAGTAAAACCTACAAGGGTCAAAATAAACCCCATAAGAGTGAGTACTGAGTTATACGCTAGTCACGAAGTAAGATCCCAAAGTAAGATCCCATGAGAGTCCAACAGCAAGATCCTACTGGAGTCCCAAAGAAAAATACCACGGGAGTCCCAAAGTGAGATCCCACGGGAGGCCAAAAGTAAGATCCCACTAGAGTCCCAAAGCAAGATCCCACGGGAGTCCCAAAGCAAGATCCAACGTGATTCCAAAAGTAAGATACCAACGGGAGCTCCAAACCAAGATACCACGGGAGTCACAAATCAAGGTCCCACATGGGTCCCAATGCAAGATCCCACCGAAATGTTATAGTAAAGTCCCCACGGGAGTCCCAAAGGAAAAAAACAGAAGTCCCACGAAGTTAGAGTCAATACTTCAAATCAATCATAAAGACTAGTAAATTTCAATATTGTTTACTACATACTACATACTCCATATTCAATTATTACATACTCGTATCACATTACTACGTCCTTAATACTCTTTAAAAATTTGAATCTCTTGATATTTCTTTCGTTTAACTTAGATTTTCCATGATCGAGGATATTGATTTGTGTGTTGAACTAGATGATGGAGATGAGGATGAGTATGATGGTGGGGAAGGAAGAGGAGGAGGGAGGGATCTCCTCACCTCCTCCGATGATATGCTAGCTGAGCCCTTTTACGATGTTCCGGAGGGGGAGGACTATTTGGCGATATACGAGACCATTGATAGAAAACGTTTAGAGGCTCGAGAATTCAAGGTTTTTATTCTTGGCAATTAATTTAGAGTTTTATACGGAATGTCAACGTAATTTCAAGTAACCCTCCATGCAAAGATGGCAATGCCCGGTTTTCAACGGTACCCTTGAAACCTTAATCTGATCATAAATGTGGAAGATACCGTCGTTTTCAGAATCGAGAAGTGTTATCTCTGTAAGTTTCTCCATTGCTTCTAATAAACAAAAAATGCAGAGAACCCACAAATGAAATTAATAATTAAAGAAACCAAAACATTGGCATCAATTCATGCTAGTGGAGTAGTAATAAATCCTGGAGGTCACTTGAAATAATGTCTGCAGTCCCTTTATGGAATGTTGTAAAACCATACAAAACAGCGCCAGCTTAATGCATAATTTACTCTTTGTTTTCTCCAGAAGTTTATTTTTAGCCCTAAGTAGACACTATATTATTAGACTAATCTGTTTACAAGATCTAATTCCAATAAGGGGAATGGGAAAAGAATAATTTAAGAAATATTTTATCCATTCCTGGTAAATCATTTCTATTTCTATTTTTCGCTTTTTAAGATTTTGGGGGGAAATATTTCCACAACCTTTATTTTTAGGGGGTTTTAAATATTTCCTTTTCGAACACCTAATTTTAAATTTTTTTGTTTGTTTTACCTTGTAAATAAATTTCTTACTTACTTACTTACTTTCTTACTTAATTATTTACTTACTTACTTACTTACTTACTTACTTACTTACTTACTTACTTACTTACTTACTTACTTACTTACTTACTTACTTATTAGAATAAGAGTGCAAGTATGGAGGAACTGGAAACCCCAACATCGTCTCTTAAATCCTTCAATATCAATCCTAATCTAGAGACAGCGGGAGCTAAAGCTGAACCACAGGTAGTTCTTGTAGTTCTTGTAGTTCTTGGAGTTCTTGTAGCTTTTGCAGTTCTTGTAGTTCCTGTAGTTCTTGTAGTTCTTGTAGTTCTTGTAGTTCTTGTAGTTCTTGTAGTTCCTGTAGTTCCTGTAGTTCTTGTATTTTTTGGATTTCTTGAAGTCTTGTAGTTTTTGGAGTAAATGAAGTTTCAGAACAGCCAAATAATGACTGAACATTCTAGGTTCGGGATAAGCGGAGACACCGAACCAAATCAGGGTCTAGAACTGAGCACCGGAGAAGTATGCACGGTTCAAATCCTCCTGCTCTGTACGGACCTGGAGCTCCTCAGATCTCTGAACCCCTCGGAGGAGATACTTCTAGAGATCCTCTTCCCTTACCCAGAGATTCAATTCATATCAGAGATTCTTCCAGAGATATTCCGATTAATATTAGGGACCCTGGGCTCCCTAGGGACCTTCCTCCAGTTCCTAGAGAACCTAAGGAGCAGGACTCCAATGGTGAAAGTATGGCACAATTTCTAAAGAAAGCGCTGCGGATAGAAGGAGCACAGTTGACCCAGAAAACCATAACTATCAGGTAAAGTTGACCCAAACATACAATTAGAAAATTATCATAATAAAGAGAATTTTTTAAAAATACTTTAAATACTTAAAAAGAAGCACAGTTCTGTGGCTTTTGTACAAATTAAATATGTGCATTTTATTAACTTGGCGAGAAGACCCATATATGTCTTTTTTGTAAATAACGAGTAAGTACTAAGTATGCACTTATTTCCTTTTTTCAAATAGGTAAGTAATCCATTTAAAGCAATATTTCTTCAATAAACAGTGTACACAGTACACACCTCGTAAAATGAAGGTTGTATTTTTATTCTAAATTTTTTGTTTTAAGAAATAATGAATTTTAGCAAAACTTAAAGTAACAATGATAAAAAGTTTAAAGAAAAGGAATTTCATTATTATAAAATTATGCAAGTTGTTCAAGTTTTATATCATGAGATAAGTTTTGAAAACACGTAGGAGTCTTATCATTCTCCGACTTAGTTTAATTCAAGAAATAGGGCTTTATATTTCATCGAAAAACAATTACTTGTTAAAAATTGCGTATCTAATGCTAATACTTATGTACACCAATAACCTTCACATATTGTTGAGGCCGAGATTCATGTTTTTTACTCGGAACAAACACGTTACATTGAAACAAACATTATTTTACGACGACTTTAAAGATCATTTCTGTAAATTTTCTAAATCTTTCAGATGTTTCCTCGTAAAGAGAAACTCCAAGACAAAATTATCAATTTAAAAAATCCAGCATAAAATTCTTTAAATAGAGGCTTACATACAATCACTTCTGCAGTACCTTTAACGTACAGAAACATTGGATGGAATAAAATACCTTTAAAACCATTAAAATTTCGTAAATATTCTCTTTAACCACCCAAAAAAATTGTTTAGGAAAAATAACCGTGAGTCCCTCGGTATGAGGATTGGAGGCGGGATAGGAAGTAACGAGGGGGACACGCCCATTTACATTGCAAACATACATCCTCACGGCTGTATAGGCAAATCAAAACAATTAAAGGTAAATAATTAATAAAAAAAACTAAATAGAAAAAATGCGTATTTAAAAGAACAAAACAATATTTTGTCGAGTATTCAAAGATTTCACATTTTTTGAGGAAATTTTGTAAGGTAACATATAATTTTTACGGATACTTAGCTTTTTCAAAATTGTCATTTATAAACTAATTTTAAAAGCCGAATTTAATGAATTTGAGCCGCGTCTTAAATCCGTCAAAAACCGGTTTCAATTAAGAACCGGCTTAAATCTTAAAACATTGAATATAATTTTAAGTGAAACCAACTATATTTGAGCCGCGGCTTAAATTTAAGCCGCCGCTCAAATTCTTTAAATTCGGCCTCTTGTTAACGTTCTGATTATTACAAAAATAAATAAAAGAATTGGGATGGGGGAGGGGGGTAAAAAGAAAAAAAACTTTTGTCGGGATTGATTTGTTGAAAATGTTATCCTTGTTATTCATTTTCTTGCTGAGCAAAGGCCCTCAATTCCCTCAATTCTCATTAAGATAAAGAAATATCAATAGTAATTCATTGTAATTACAATGATAGAAATAATGTTTTTTTTATACTTTGATTACAGTGTCAAATATTTAATTAGAATACAAATACAGAATCATCATTATTTTTAATTGTATTCTGTTTATAATTACTAGCTTGGGACTCAGTTTATAATTACTAGCTTGGGACTCTGTTTATAATTACTAGCTTGGGACTCTGTATATAATTACTAGCTTGGGACTCTAAAGAAAGATTAAGAATAATTGTGGGTTCTTGGCACTGGGTAGGTTTTGGGATGAAAAATTGGACCTCGCTTTGCAGATTTATCACGTTTGTTCTAGCTATTACTAAATTCAAATTTTACCTTATTGTAAACAAGTTAAACTTGTTTGCGCTTCGTGCTAAATTTCTTCTATATATAAATTTGGCTTGTCTGTCTGTCTGTCTGTCTGTTTGTTTGTATCCAATAAACGTGAAAACGGTTGAACAGATCGGGCCCAAATTTTTTGTGGGACATCACGTGACCACAGGGAAGGTTTATGAATGATCAAAATTTCAAATATTTGTCTCAATCAAAATTAGATCTTCATTAAATTTTTGAAAATTTTGAAAATCCGCGAATTATTTTTGTTTTGTTTTACGATGTACACAAAAAGAACATGTTCACAATTAATTTAGAAGATGGGCGCTATCAGGCTAGTAATATATATTGGAGCTAAACTTTCTTTGAGGAGAAAATAATTCTTAAAAATATTTATAGATTCACACCTTTGCCTGGTCAAGATTCTAGGATACGAATTCATTATTTTCTGGTGTCTTTAAATTATTATTTTTTTCTGTGCTTTAGAAACAATGAAGGAATTTGTCGGAAACAAATAATTTTCAAGCTAGAAAAATATCTTCAAAATTATTAATCAGAAAAAGGTTTAAAGGAACGCTGCTTTAAATGTAGGTTCACTTGAAACTTCAACAAAGGCCTCTTTAAATTCATTTTTCTGTTTAGAAAGGAGATCTATTGCTTCGTGTCAATGATTCTAGTTTGGATGGGTTGACCCATGCTCAGGTAAAGATATAAATACATGTCTACCTACAGTTCTTCCTGGACTTTAGCTTGTCCAGGGTAGGCCTGGGAAACTTTCCGTTACGTTTAAATCCGTTCATCTATATGCTTAACCAAACCTTACTAGAAATAAATATTCTTCCTTCATAGAATAATATATTGTTTAGGCTGTAGCAACTCTGAAGGCAACTATCAGTATGAACAGTGTAGTCCTGGTTGCCATGGATGTAAGATTTTTTATTTTTATTTTTGACCCACGAGACTTCCATGAACAACTCAAATTCTAATTCATGTGCTTAAGGCGGCTTAACTGTTGTTTTTTACTTACAGAAATATTTGAACCAACGGTAAATATAACCTTTAAGGGATTCAACCATTAAATTATAAGGAACTATACTTGAAAATTAACTATTTAGATAAAATTGCACAACTGCAGTGCTTCATTTTCATTGGACTATATAAAATCATCACTTCACTCTAGAAGTCGTCTTCCTGTTTTATGAACCTCTCTGTTTATCGACCCAACCCTCCATTTTTTCTATTATTGGAGGGCCGGACAGAATGGAGGGGGGAATATGTTTGATTGTATTTTAAAATTGAAATGGATACATGTACAACAAAATAAATAAATAATAATAATGATAATTAGAAATAAATATTTGATGATTCTTTATTATAAGTATATGTAATAACACTGAAAGTCAATGCAAAAGGTTGGAGGTTTTCCAGAATTAAGGGGGTTTATGGACAATCCCTCCCCCCCCCCTTTGTGTACATTTAGGCATCCTTTGTAATCATTTTTTTAACATATGGCTTTTAGTGCCAGAGTTGGACATGAAAAAATATATAAGAATTTACAGAAAAAAAAATTCCATTTCTATTATGTTTTACAGTATGCAAAATATTGGCAACCCAATTAGATTTTTGAAAAACGAAAAAAAAACTGTTCATCAGAACATGTTTGACTAAATATTTGGAATTCTTATATTCTTCTAGATAAAAATAAGGGTTTATTAGCAAATTTTGTGATAGATCTTTAAAGATTTTAAAGACTGTAGAGTGTAGACCAAATGATCTTAAATTTAAGATTTGGCTTAAAAACCACCTAATTGTTTTTTAAAGTTAAAAAAATCTATTAGAAAAAATCTACATTTTTTCACAATTTTTGGCAATTTTTCAGAAGAATATTTTTTTTAACGGCTATTATGTGACCCATCATTAAAGGAGTGGAATGTCCGATATGCAAATATATGATCATTTTTATCATTTCCTTCTAATCAAGATAAGTGTTTAGGAAGTTGTTGAATTTGTTAATTTCAGCTATTCATAGATAACCCTGTCTGTACCTTAAAGGAACTAAAAGCTTAAACTCTTGTGACCCTCCATGCTAAGATTGCAATGTCTGAAAATCGAGATACAATGGAACCCAAAAAAGCTTTGCCTGATCAAGTCTAAATTAGAAATGCATGTTTTTGTTTATTTAAACTTTTCATCTGTATTTGTGTTTTCTCTGTAAAAGTGACTTCCGCATTTCTTGCTTTTAAAAAAAAATAGTGAAATTAACAGAATTAAACTTTTTTCTATTCAGAAAACCGACGTTATTTTCCACATCTTTTATCAGCTTTAGGTTTCAAGGGTAAAGTTGTAAATCGTGCATTGCTATCTTTACATGGCTGGCGGGTTGCTACATTTCTCATTCAAAAACTGCTATTTCAAGGGTTTTCAATAATAAAAAACAATTTCTGAATGATGTTAGGGACCGGAAACTAGTTTTGGAGCTTCCAACTTTATCCCAAGCTGGATGTATTGGCAACGTTTACCAAGATCTCTTCAGTATCCTAAAACTGTGATTCTCCACAGGTGATTTTTTTAAACAACGGAACTACAGATTACTTGCCTCAAACTCGTGTTTCTCAATAAATCACAAGGACGTTTTCATATTTATCCCTATAGTTTGCAACATGCATTTTGTAATAACGTCTGATGTCCGCTGTACAAAAATGCAATTTTCTAATTTACCGAAACCCTCTGTACAATACATCAGAGTTTGAGAAGTGGATAGTAGGACTCCCTAAACACATGATTTGATTTGATTTGATTATCCCTATAGTTTTCAACATGCTGCATGTTGTAAGGGGGATGGGGACGGGGGCCGTTTGGGCTCCACACCCCCTGAATCAGTAATAAAATATTGAGTGTCCCATATCATATTAGATTATCTCCAATCTTTAACACCTGAATACGCACATTATACTAAAAAAATCTAGAATTTCTGCAAAAAAAAATTCGATTAGCCTTATTAAATTTTTCAAAATGATTCATTCTTCTTAAATTTTCTGATTTGTCCCCCAAATCGTAATTTAGACCCATTGACGCGGTCTAATTTGATGTGGGACACCCTGTATTAAAATGGACAAATTTCTGAGTATGCTCCAGATTGTAATCCTTTAGTATTTCCAACGTTAATTTAGTTTAACTAATAGGTTAAAGCATAAAAAGGTTCACATTAAAGGGAGTGTTCGCGAAAAGTGAAAGGGGGTATAGGCTAAATGCGATAAAAAAGCGCTTTTGATCGCCACTAATCTTAATTCTATCTGTTGCGTCTATTAGGAGAAAATTGTTAAAGACGTCTCATACCGAATAACATGGCGTCCATACAAATTGAGAAAATTTCAACATACGACTTAGACCGTAAAAAAATCAATTTAATTTCAAACAAATCATTCAGATATTACAACCTATAGTCATCGATTATCTTTCGCCCATTTATATATAGTTGATTTTTCATAATATGTTTTAATTGTTATGATCCGAGAGTTACTTACAAAAACGTTTATTCCTGTTTCGAGGATTTTTGGTAATGAAGACGACATTTTCATATTTTCCAGGAATGTTCGAAAACAAGTTGTAAGCTAAATATTATTTAAAAAAACAAAATCAAAACTAGTATAAAATATTAAATATATACAAATGTGGCGAAAGATAATCGATGACTATAGGTTGTAATATCTGAATGATTTGTTTGATATTAATTTGATTTTGTTACGGTCTAAGTCGTATGTTCCAACTTCCTCAATTTGTATGGGCGCTACGCTCTTCGGTATGAGACGTCTTTATCAATTTTCTCCTTATAGACGCAACAGATAGAAGTAAGATTAGTAGCGATCAAAAGCGCTTTTTTATCGCATTAAGCCTATACCCCCTTTCATTTTTCGTGAACACTCCCTTTAAGTGTGCTAAGATAAAGGATTAAAATTGGGGATTGTTGAGAAGCTTGATCTTATCACGTTCGTGTCCATTTTATTTTAAATTAACATTTTATTTCTTGATTAGGCGTGACGGTACGAGCTGGGGTTTCAGTATTGTAGGCGGGGCAGACCCGGGCGCGGACCGGACAGAACCGGTTCATGTACTCTTTGTTGTACCATACAGTCCGGCAGCCAAGGTATTTATAATCAACACAAAAAATGACGCTGAAAAGAATTGGATTTTTTGTACATTTCTGATATTTTGAATCGTGTAGATCATGCTAAATTTTTCTCAGGATGGAAAACTGAAATGCGGAGACAGATTATTGACAGTTGATGGTCACAGTTTAGAAACAGTCACTCACTCCACAGCTGTCACAATGCTTAAACAGACGAGTACTAGGTAACAGTTTTAGTTTAACAGCTGTTAATGTTTTATAAGTTTTAGAAAAGTTTGGACGCGCACTTGAGCTTTTTGCTTGCCAAAATAAGGAGTGGCGATGTGCTTTTAAACTGAATTGTTAAGATTTAAGATTTTAAGAATTATTTTTGCTTTTAACCAAAAGTTTAAGACTTTATACTTAGGGTTGTGATGGAGGTTGTGAGCTGGATGGGAACAGAGCTATAGAAATTTACTAGTCCTGTACAAATCACATGAACAGGAGGACTCAAGTACATATCATATATAGTCTGTACCATGTACTTTGCTGTTAGAAACGTGCCAAAAGGCTATTGCTAAAGATCCTTAACCTGTGAATTTATTAATTGATCTGTTATCAATTTTATTTAAGAAAGAAATTAACCCTGTGATACGTTTACACTCGCTTTGACATATCTGCTCTATACTTATCCTTCATATCCATCCTATCTTCCCCGACCTATCTTCATATCCATCCTATCTTCATATCCATCCTATCTTCATATCCATCCTATCTTCCCGGTCCTATCTTCATATCCATCCTATCTTCATATCCATCCTATCTTCCCCGTCCTATCTTCATATCCATCCTATCTTCATATCCATCCTATCTTTCCCGTCCTATCTTCACATCCAACCTATCTTCATAGCCATCCTATCTTCATATCAATCCTATCTTCATATCCATCCTATCTTCATATCCATCCTATCTTCATATCAATCCTATCTTCATATCCATCCTATCTTCATATCCATCCTATCTTCATATCCATCCTATCTTCATATCCATCCTATCTTCATATCCATCCTATCTTCCCCGACCTATCTTTAAATCCATCCTATCTTCCCCGTCATATTTTCACATCCATCCTATCTTCCCCGACCTATTTTCATATCCATCCTATCTTCCCCGACCTATTTCCATATCTTCCCATTATTCCCTTCATATTCATCCTATCCTTGTTCTTATTCTTTTCACCCTCCCTGTCCTTTTTATCAACTCTTTGTCTTCCTTAGATTACAGCTATTATATCTTTATTTTCTTGAAGACAAATAAAAGTATATATTCAAATTTGGGGTCACGATATTGTTTGTTTTGATTCTAAATTATTTGAAGTTCTTTAATGTACGCAGTTTGATTATATCTATAAAGTATAGTTTAAACACTTTACTTGTGGCTTAAAAGTTAATACAGTGTTGAGACTACATTGTAATTTTACAAGGAAGTCTCTTTCCTAGATTACCAAAAAAAAACTAATAAATGACAATGCACTTACATATTCTCTTCCCTTTTCTTTGTCAACTCGTTTTTGTTGATATGCGTATACATTTTTCTTTTCTATACAAAATTCCGTTTTTTTTCTGCGTTTTTGCAGATGTATGTACAAAATAATACACTTTGAAGAAAATCCGAAAAATTATCCAAATAAACAGTATTTATATGAAACTGCTCATTTTTACTTTAAGAAGAGAAATAAGTGTATGGCCCGTAAAGGTTAGGAAAGGTCAGTGTGTGTATGTGGAATTATTAGGTTCTGAGGTTGATATTTATTTTAAGGAAATTGTTAATTATTATATTGAGCTGTATGCACTGCAGTACGGTGGTTATCAATATGAAGCGGAAAAATTGTCATAATCTTTTTTCTTTTATTTGGTAATTTAAAGTAACAATAAACGAAATCGTGAACTGCAGGGAGTCCCACATCAAATTAAATCGGTATTGAGGCTCTTGTATTGAGATTAAAGGGACTTATCAGAAAATTAAAAAAGAACACGTTTTCGAGTAAATTATATCACTTCAATTCTCTCTCATATTCATCTAACTACTTCTTTATAATTCTTTCAGTTATTTTTACTGGGTAACATTTTTTCATATTTTAGTTATAATGAGGCGTATTTTTAAGTTAAAACACGAATTTAATGAATATGAGACGTGTCTCAAATCTGCAAAAAATCGGTTTTAATTGAGCGTCGACTTAAATTTTGAATTATTAAATACAATTTTAAGTGACACCAGTAACATACTTGAGCCGCGGCTCAAATTCTTTAAATTCGGGCTCAGATCAAAGAGAAATTAACATGAAATGATCTAGTCTTGGGTTTCCTAAATGCGGTCAGCCATTTTAGAAATTTTAAGTTCGTGTAGAGTGTAGAGATTCAGATTTATTACGTAAAATACAAATTATTCAAATCTAGTTATAAAAAATTAACAGAAGTTCAGAGTCCGAATTTAATGAATTTGAGCCGTGTCTCAAATCCCCCAAAAACATTAAATACGATTTTAAGTGGAACCAACCATGTTTGAGCCGCGGCTTAAATTCTTTAAATTCGGCCTCAGCACTGCTTTTTCAGGAAACGGGCGAATTTTTTTTAAAGCTTTATCATTTAATAGTGTTCGGAAATCAAAGACGAGTTTAAATATGGATCTTCTCATTCCTATATTTATTTATACATTTTTGACAACATTCAGTGAAAGTTAATAACATATGTATTGTAGTTTATGTCACATCAGTTTTGATTACTACAAAATGATATGCACTCCAAACATGATATTATTATTTCGTAAAAATTTGCACAGCAAACTATTAAGCAGCAGGCATCGGAGCAGCATTCCAGACAGCAGCAACATGCAGCAGTTCTCCTCTCGCTAAATCAAGAACAGTTTTAAAATTCCTTTATACTACGACATAATATAGAACATCATTATGGGATGCAACTATAGAGGTAGACTAACGAGCTAAACCGATCTCTCTCTAAACTAATCATAATTATGGAACTTTTCATTATCTTTTTTATTGAGGGGGGGGGGGGGGGTTTCGAGGACTACGAGGACTAGGTATAGACACTACACAGACCTGTAAGGTATAAGGTAGACTACTAAGATCTATAAGTAGAGATATGTAGATAACAGACACAAAGGACCCCGAGGACTAGGTATAGACACTAAACAGATCTGTAAGGTATAAGGTGGACTACAAAGAGCTATATGTAGAGATATCTAGACAACAGACACAAAGGACTACGAGGACTAGGTATAGACACTAAACAGATCTTTAAGGTATAAGGTGGACTAAAAAGAGCTATATGTAGAGATATGTAGACAACAGACACAAAGGACTACGAGGACTAGGTATAGACACTAAACAGATCTTTAAGGTATAAGGTGGACTACAAAGAGCTATATGTAGAGATATGTAGACAACAGACACAAAGGACTACGAGGACTATGTATAGACACTACACAGATCTGAAAGGTATAAGGTGAACTACAAAGAACTATATGTAGAGATATGTAGACAACAGACACAAAGGACTACGAGGACTATGTATAGACACTATACAGATCTGAAAGGTATAAGGTGGACTACGAGGACTATGTATAGACACTATACAGATCTGAAAGGTATAAGGTGGACTACGAGGACTAGGTATAGACACTACACAGATCTGAAAGGTATAAGGAGGACTACAAAGAACTATATGTAGAGATATATAGACAACAGACACAAAGGACTACGAGGACTAGGTATAGACACTACACACAGATCTGAAAGGTATAAGGTGAACTAAAAAGAACTATATGTAGAGATACTATGTTTGTTTTTTATCTTATATTCAAGTTGAAAGATCATATGAACAAATAAATTATGACCTTTCTTCTTGTCCGGCTTGCTCCATTTTCCTTCAGATTGTTAACTAATATTTCATTTAAATCTCTGAAAAAAATAAGATTAATTTGCAAGAGTTTTATGTTTTTTTTTCAATCCCTTTTTTAATACTTTAAGCAATATATTTCTTTTGTATACTTATAGAACCCATCAAATCAGAATTCTGATATAAGATTCAGACAAAAAATACGTTTTATTTACGTGCACAATTTCCCCTCAGTGTCATTCCTTGCCCTTTTATTATATTAATATATATTAATTAATATTCATTATTAAAATTGTAAAATTAAACATTTTTACACAATACATTTTTCAATGAAAAGGTCAAGTTCAAAAATAGGTCTGCATGAAAAATTCCTGAAAACTCTTTGAATCTACATTTCTTACACAGTTAAAAATCGTATTTTCAGCGAACACAATTTGATGCCATATCTTATAAATAGGAAATATATTCTTGTTTGAACTCTAAGAGACGACTTGACGATCGTCTTTGATATTTGAATTAAGACGAGTAAATTTCGCAAATGATAAAAGACGACCTTCACGACGTCTCTTAACTGTAATGTTACGTGTGACACTCTGTATATTATGCTTCATTTATTTGTAACCTAACAATCGATTGAATTCGCTGCAGTCCTGGAATAAGAGTGTGAACTTGAATAAATACCGGATATAACTGTATAGAAGAACTAGAACTTTAAATAACAAATAACCAAACACTTCTTTCTCTAATTCTTCAAATTTTGTTATTACTAATGATTTATAACTCTGAATTCTTAGAACTGGAAAAGTATAAGAAAACTGATTCAGAAATGATCTATAGCTTTCTTCGAACACAAAATAACTAAACACAACTAGATTATGAACTTTCTACAGCTAAACGAAATAAAATCAAAACGTTATAGCTAGACAAAATGTATTTACTGTATCTAAACTGTATCACAAGAAATGAGGTACTACCGTCTAGTCTTGTCTAACAGTGTTCCAAATATCATGCAGGAGTGTATTCGGGAATACGTCCAGGGGGGGCTTGACCTTTTTAATCTTTCCGATACGCTTAGTTGGAGTCTTGATTTCCCCTAAGGACTGTAGTTTTTCTTATCCGGGGTGGAGGGGGGGGGCTGAATCCCCATACCCCCTTCATGCAACACTGCTATATAGATTGCATACAGCTGAGTGCAATGTACTCAGCCGGCCTCAGCTTTGCAACTGAGATTTGCAAACAAGATTTTCGCAGACATTTTGCACAACTGTTTTTAGTTTACTTAGACTCCACGCAGATTCTTAAGGACTTAATGAATTAATTAACTTTTTTAACCCTAGAAATTAAGGTTAATGGGGGGGGGGGGGTTGACTTTTTTATTTAAACTACGCGTTACGCCCCCCCCCCCCTCACAAAAGCTCTATTTGATCCCATTTTGTATAATTATAAAGCATGTAAACAAACTGCCATGTAGGCACTGCATGACAAATAATGAGGCTGCATACATGAATTGTTGGCCTTACATATTGATTATATATATTCTAATACTGTATAATTTTGTTTACATTTTTTGGCGTCGTTATAATTAATAAATTTAAAAAACCCGATTCTGAAAATTTACCCACCCATATTCACAATTTGAACGTCGACTTTGCACTCAAACTCAGTAAATATAGATCTTTAAATCGTTTTATATGTCTCTTAAATGAATCCTAAAGAATTATTCCACAATACTGCATACTCAGCTCAACTCCCATACATAGCCGGTCACTCCCTTTAATTCAAAACCAATTCTGCAGCCATGATGACGTCATGTTCAAGTGTACAATATTCGGATACATTCCTAATGCATTATCTTCTACTATTGGACCATCTTTGAAACAGACCACAGCTGTCGACCTGAGTTACCCACAAGTAAAAACAATGTTACAACATAAAGTATAAAACATAATTTTTTTCAAAAGATGAAAAAATATGAAAATAAGATGAAAAAAGATGAATAAAGAATAATATTTACTTATTATCTTATATACAGAGCGTCCCATATCATATTAGATTATCTCCAATCTTTAACACCTGAATACGCACATAATACTCGAAAAATCTATCATTTTCTGCAAAAAAATTTTATTAATTTTTTCAAAATGATTCATTCTTCTTTTCTTCTTAAATTTTCTGATTTGTCCCCCAAATCATAATTTAGACCCATTGACGTGGTCTAGTTTGATGTGGGACACCCTGTATAAATATATATATATATATAGTCTATGGATGGACACAACTAATAGACGTCTGACCTTTATCTTGGATTAGTTGTAATGTTTTTAATTTTAGTTTAATTTTATTTTTATTTTTGTAAGTTTTAAATAAATTCAACCAGTATGAGAGAGACTTCATAGACGACTGTACGAATCTCTTCAGTATTTTCTTAAATTCATGGTTTTAATTGGCTTCGAATCTTTGCCAAACCTTTACAGTCCGCATATAAAAAAAAATTTGTGAAACTTAATTTAGATCACTGGGATTTGAATCCAAAGAATTACATTTTTCACTCTCTTACCAATCTTAGTTAATGGTTTGGGAACTGCAGAGCGATTTTTTTTGTTTTTGAATGTCTTCTTTTAAATTAGATTTTTTTTTTTATTTGATTTTGTACAATTTGAGTTAAAAGATTGAAAATATTCTTTTCTACAGGGTAATTTTTTAGATACGTATACATATACAAGAGGGGGCCTATGGTGGAGGCTAAGCCCTCCCCCCCCTCCTGGGAGAAGTAAAAACTATGATGATAACTCTCATTCGTTTATAGCGGGCCAACCAGTTAACACAACCTACTCTGGTTAGGCGGGTCCAAACTACATAGTAAATTGTAATTTTTTTATTTGTATTATCTCGTGCTTTGTAGTTGAATAAAAATATGAAATATGAATAACCAGAAAACTCTGTAGTAGGAAGACGACTTTTAGAATCAAGTTATAACTTTGGTAAGTGTAAATTAGTGATTTAAAAGTTGTCTAGTTAAACTATTTGCTTTGTATCAATATTAAATACACTTAATTATTGTTATACTGTCGTCTTCTCATTTCATTGTTTTCTGGTTCTCACTATACGTATAAGATTACTAAAAAAAGAATGTCTTTTAATTCTTTTATCACTTCTTCTTTTTTTTACAATATAATATAGGTTGCATTGCAGATGGCCCCTTGGCCCCTTAAACGCTCATAAAAAGGGCTAGACTTTTTAATGATACAATTTATACAGTGGTCAGTCTATTTACCAATATAATACAGACGACATTAAAGTTCAGCTTTGCTTTCTTTCCAGCTTGCATGTAAACAAAGGGAAGCAGTGAGTTTGACGGGCAAATAATCTTTGCTATAAAAATTATATTTTCAAAATTATATGGCTTTATATTCGAAATTAACTGTTAAGTTTCTTAAATAAATTGTGTGACATATATACCCTGAATGTAAGCACGATCGATATGAAGTACATATGCAGTACACTTGATGTCATCAAAGTGGGTACTGCATATTTTATCCAACTAGCTGTCATATCAGGGTTAAATACATTAGATTGCGCATAAGACGACATTTTTCATCTTGAAAGATATAAGTGTAAAGAGATGTTTTAAAGATATTCCTGTTATATAGATTAACTAGGTCGGTTGTGAACATTGGCTGTTCTTATGCCATTGAGTACTTGTGATGTACATGAGTTCTGTAGAGAGAAATTTAAGTTAGTTTAGTCCTTCTCATGTCCTTCTTCAGTTCTCGTCAATATGTTATATTTCTCAGTGAAATATTGTTGTTCAAATAGTTCCATTCCCGGAGTTATTTTACACTCTATTATGAAATCCATTAAAACACCAAACCACCCCGCTTATCATTGAAGTACACTTTGACTCCTAGAAGTATGAGTTCGCGGACTGTACAACTTTTGGTGATTTTGCGTACATAAGCTATCTATGTTTATTTATTTATCTATGGTTAAATATCTCAAAAATATAAACTAATAGATAAACCTAAATTTCTTCATGTTTACTCATTTAAAGTTACACAATTTTATGTCATAAAACAATAATATCTAAAAAAAAACTTTCCCCTTTTGGTTCACAGCTTTCCATTGTGTACATGCAAGCTGGAAAGTAAGCAAAGCTTCACTTAAATGTCCTTTATATTACAGGGTGTCCCAATAAACATGGGAATTCAGTGACGAATCCGATATCGTCTTTGTTATGAATTAGCATTGTAAAACCTAATTTATAAAACCATAATATTATTATGTCTGCTAGAGTTTATTTTATGAAAACAGTAAATGGCTGTAAAGATGTGTCTATAATGTCTCCGCAAGATGAACAGTGAAGACTGACAAGTTTACTCTGTTTGTATACTGCAATTTTCTTGTTTTACTATGTACACCCTTGTGCAGTCAAAACATAAACAAACAAATTGCAAACATAGCAGACGAAAATCTTACAGATTACACTTTCTCAGTAGGCATCACTATACTAAATCAAAGAATTATTTAAAAAGACGATATCGAGTTCCCATGTTTATTGGGACACCCTGTATATTGGTATATATATTGACCACTGTACTAGATTTTTTATCAGGCCTAGTTTTAAATAACACATAAAAATCATTTAAAGACAAATCAACAGTTTCAGTGTGCCATCTTTAAGCTGCATAAACATTAGAAAACTAAAATATTTGTATGTTGAGCTTGTGTCTTGTTAGATGTACGAATTAGAGAATGAAGGTGGATATTTGTTGAAGTTTATAATAATATAAACAGTTATTCATCAATCAGATATTCAATCTGTTTTGTAAACAAATCTTAATATGCATTCTCTTTACAAGGACAGTCGAGTTCTTTTCGTTTTAACACACTATCAAGACTCTTGTTATCACACTTCAAAAGAAAAGTTTAGGATTCATGTACCTAGAACTAATAGAATTGTGAATTTTAATATGATTAGAAAGTTTTGTATATTGTAACAGTGTATTCTTTTAATATAATACATTTTTGAATTTAAGTAAAAATTTCTCTATTCTAAGTGGCCTCTCAGATTTACAATTGTACCATTGAAAGCTTTGTCTGATCAAGTATAACTTAGGTACGATGTTCATCATTTTGAAAACTGATTTTTTTCAATCGTGGTTTGCTGACTTACGCAATTCTATTGCAGGAAAACCATGGAAAAATTATCAGAATTATTTACTTTTCAAGCAGTTTCTTTAAGATTAAATAATGTCCCACTAAAAATAACAATTTTTTATTGAGGGCTAATTAAAGATACGCTGTCTTCTTGATATTAATTGCGGCCTAGATTCAGATTTTTTGCACTTTGATTCAAAAAACAATTATCAGAAAGGAATTGAGTTTTTTTCTATATTTTTGCAACCTTGATATGTTAAACTCAGGCTATATTGATTCAACAGAACTAATAGCGTAAAATACCAAAGGTCCACAACATTGAGTTGCAATAATATAGGGGTTAGAAATTTAGTGTTAGTTACAAAAGCTCAGTCCCTTTCAGCTAACCCTAAAATTGAACTTTCAATTTTATAGTAAAAAAGTTACGTTTAGCTTGCTTGGCGCTATATTTAGGATTATATATGGTTAGTGTATACAATATACATGGTTAGTCTTTGGTTGGTCTATAATTAATCTTTGATTCGAATTCCCATAAAGCAATAATCATTTTGGAGGACCCCTTTCTGGTTGTATTAGTAAGTTAATTTACTGCAATCAATTAACAGTTGGTTATTAATTATTAAAATAACAATTCATCTGTTTTTAACGAAATTAACCAGTTTATTTGGTACGAAGGAGAAGAAGACAAGACAATTTTCCCCTAAAATTTAAGAACATTCTTTGCCCGGCCCTACCTTTTCCACTATATCATATATCAGAAACTAAAGACTCTGAATCTAGTTCTATGTCTTGTCAAGGAGCTGTGGCTGAATACCAATTGTTTATGATGAATGAAAAATGCTAAATATAACAATACTGTATTGTGTATGGCTAGTGTAGATCAGGTATCTGGGATATAGGACTCCAGCTCCTCCTCCAGTAGAATATCTAGTATGTGTAGACCAGGAATATGGAGTATTCTAACCGGAGCACTCATTCTTCTTCCCTTCTCCCTGGGGATGCCAGATCCATTGAATTCAAAGGTAAAGCTTATTCATTATTCACACTGTATATTTACGGCCACAAAAACCGGACCTCCTCATTATCTGATTTTAAAAGGCAGTTTAACTTTCCTTGTGGGATGATTTATTTCTCTAAAGTAAGTTCCGCATATGTTTACATGCAGACCACGATATACTGCTTGAAGTACGGTGGTTCACATTCTGATAAAAGGAAAGAACGCCAACGGTTCTGATAGTATATCGTGAACGTAATCTCAAATGAGCTGTAATTTGCATATGTTTAACTTGAAATCCATGGTTGGACAAATTTAAATTCTAATAATCCAAAAGTCCCATGAATCCCGCTTTAACTATGGAAATAGTTGTCTGTTCTGAATAATTGTAACTGAAGTAGTGGAATTTGATTGAAATTTTGATTGCTTTGAGAGAATAAATGTTAAAGAATAATGTTTTTTTTACCTTCATGCCAACTATTTTGTCCAGTACCTAGCTGAACTAAAAGATGAGTTGGCTGCTGTAGGTGTTCCACACAATGATGAGCTATGGGAGTCTGTGTCAATTGAAGATGAGCCTGTCAAAGGTTATGAAGAACAATCTTCAGAAAAGGCAACTGGCTCTGAAGAAGTGGGAACGAATGGTAAATAATTTTTAAAAAAAATGAATAAATGGTTTGTAACTAGTTTTAAAAGACTAAAAACTATTGCATCAAAAAGAAAATAAATTAATTTGTTATTTTACAAGTTTACTTAACTTAATGTTATACTAGGATATCCACATTTTACAAGTTTACTTAACTTAATGTTATCCTAGGATATCCGCATTTTACAAGTTTACTTAACTAAATGTTATCCTAGGTTATCCACATTTCATATTTTATATTCTTATATTGTAACTGTATGTGTATTGTGTAGGGGATGACTACAGTTCTGATATTGAAGTACCAGAAAGCTCTGACAAGTATATATCTGGTGTACAACCAGTGTCAAATATTAAATCAATAGAAAACACACAAACCGTCAAAAGAATTGAGCCGGTGGTAAATGTACAAGAACTTGCTCGGGCTGAAGAAATCAAAAGCATACAGCCCATTACCGGAATGCAAGAAGTCCTGAGTATGACACCTATAACTAGTAAACAAGAAGTTAAAGACATTAAGGAAATCAAATCAATCCAGGAGATAGCCAACTTGATTCCTCTTGACAGTGAGAAAGCTAAGATGTTTATTAAACAAGAAGGATTAGATGGATCGCCAGTGGTAGGCTATTCTGGAAAATCTGATGGAGAGGATTATTCCTCCGACCCTCTGCCCAGTTTACCAGCAGAACCTAAACTTCCTGCCGTCACACCCGTTGCAGCTCCAAGGGGATATTCAGAAAAGGCTCCCGTAAGCGCTGCCGCCCAACCGTATTCAGGTAAACCTGAAGGTCTATTGGAACCTATAGAGAGGGATATTGAAAAGGAGGATAAGATTAACAAGCTTCTTGATGATGAATATTCCAGAGGTCTGGCCAGATTGAAGGGTATAGAGCAAGTAAAAGCAAAGCATAAGCTTGCACGGGCAGAAAGAATAAAAAAGTTGGGCGAGGTCAAGCGAATGCTAGAGGTTAAAAGTATGGAAGAAGTGAGACAAATGAATGGTATCAAATCTATCAATGAAGTAAAGAGTATGCAAGAAGTGAAAAGTAAGAAGGAAGTATTAAGAAAACATGAAGTTAAAAGTCAACAGGAAGTTCTATCTAAGGTAAGACTATCTTTAAGATAAATATATTTTCCTTTCCTTGGGGGATAAAGAGAATAAATTAAATGTAAATTTGTTATTCTTTTTGGTTTGCTTAATTAAGCCAATGATACAATTTATAAGGCAACTTAATAATATTTACTTGATAACGAATTTTAAAAATAGTTAAAAACAATAGCTATCCCTAAAAGTACTATAAGAACAAAAAAAAAACTGTGGGAACGGAAGACGACTTTGGATTCAAATTATAATTTTTAAAAATCTAATAAACATGAAACACAGCAATTGTGCAGTGTGCACAAAGCACAGGTATTTCACTTTTAAAAGGGATTCATAAGCTATCAGTAAAACTTATTTCTTTGTAAAAACATCAAAACATACTTTAAGAATGCTTAAATGTCGTCTTCATAATTCTCCATTTTCTGATTCTCACTATGCCATCAGTATATAACTTGAATCTTAATCTTTCACAACTTAAAAGAATAAAGAAAAAATTATTCTGCAAACTTAAATCCTTATGTAGTTTTTTAAAGACATCATTGTTTTATTTTCACACAGACAAATAACATAACAGATAAAACTATATGTCGTCTTTTCAAGATTTAAGGGGTTTTCGTTCACAATAACCCGGAGACCGAGGCCCAAAGGAGTTAATCGCAAGCTCTTTCTCTCTGTCTTGTAATTCAATGCTGCCTGCACGGAACTCCTTTGGGCCTCTGCTTTAGGGTTATTGTAAGCGAAAAAACCCTAAATCTTGAAATACGACATCTAGTGTTCTATCTGTATTTTATTAATCTATGTATGTTCATATAAAACTTGTTTAGCATGAAATCAAATCTATGGAACCTGTGACTAGTATAGATGAAGTAAAGAAGATCTATGAACTAACTGATGAACAAGCTGACCGTCTCAAAGCATTGGCAAGTAAAAACTGACGGAGGGAATCTTCTAGAAAAGTCTGAATTTATCAATTTTTATGAAATATATCTTCTATATATGTATATATGGGGCTTGTTTGTCTGTTTGTACCAAATATAATAGAATATATCTTAGAGTTGAATTTATTAGAAAAAAGTGTTAAACTGTACTGTTTCCATACTGCAGGTGTACTTCACATATTTGTGCTCTATAACCTTTTGGGCCCTGGAACATCATTTTTTAGAAAATCTAAAATTAATATTAAAAGAAAACCAAATTATGAAATAGGCTGGTTTCATAATTGACCAATGATCATTTCACATAGACTCTATGCCTTTCACTTTACAAACGATGATTTTCCGTTATAACTTTAAATCAAATGATGTTTTTTATTCACCTAATTAATTTTATAAAGTTTATTTAAAAGCTTTGAAAAATCGAAATTAAAATGGAAAGTCTAGGGAACATACTGTATTAATGTACTCTACTGCATATAATTTGTGAACATTTGCATGATTTGTACACTTTGAACTCCCTTTCAGGCTGAAAGGGACTGACAAAATTTAAACCGAGGGATTGTTTAAATTCCACTCTAATATATATTCTATTCCCTTTGGTTTGTACTCAATAAATGGCAAAATGACAAAATTAACCATATGATCTCAGCCTTCTAGCTTAAATTTGTTGCAGTGAGATCCTTGTGTAAGTATAGTACGACAATAGAAATAAAATTTTTTCTGTTATCTTGCATGACCCCAGGGGGAAGGTTCATGGCCGGTCAACATTGAAAAAAAGTTGCAAAGAAAAATGTAGATTTTACAAATATGTTGGAAATCAATCAATGCTTGAAAAAAGCACTTTTAAAGGCCGCGCCGATTGTTGATTTGAATTCTCTTTCATAGGTTGAATTGAATTCTCATTTATAGATTGAATTAATTTCTCGTTCATGATTGAATTGAATTCTCATTCATAGATTGAATTGAATTCTCATTTATAGATTGAATTGAATTCTAATTCACAGATTGAATTGAATTCTCATTCACAGATTGAATTGAATTCTCATTCACAGAATGAATTGAATTCTCATTCACAGAATGAATTGAATTCTCATTTATAGATCGAATTGAGTAGGTGTAATTTATATGTGTATAATGTGCATAGAGGTGGGTATAGTTTTAATAGTTTGTTTTTAAATATTTAGTTTTTACGATTTGTTTTTTTGAAGAGATGTTATTTTTTTAAGTTTCATGTTAGATTATGCAAACGCTTTACTCTAACAGAATACAGGTGTATTAGGCTCAAACCTAAATGAAAACGATTTGTTAAACAGCTTTGATCAACATTTTACATAGATAGTTTTGGTGAATATCAGAGAAAATTTAGGTTAAAACAAGAATATCATGTTGAATTATTGTTAACACTAACATTCTATTGAAGCAGCTCTTGATATTAAAAACACCCAAATACAATGCTCATCTTTATACATAATATATTACAACGGCACGATGAACCTATGTAAGCATGATATCTATAATCTTGTCTAGGATTAAACTCATTAATATCAACAGAGCTAAAAGCTTTACAATACTTGATCTCCTTTTCCTGTTAATCTTAAGATTTTTTAATCTTTAGGTTTGTATCCAGTAAAGTTTATGAAAATCAACCAATCAGAGTGGTGTATGCAAAATCTCAAAGATCCAATCAGAAGCCGCGAAATTTTTTTTGTCTCATATTTAATAAGAGAACTTTCATGGGTCAAAATCCAAAAAGAGGGAAAAAGAGCGGATTGAGCTGAAATCAAAAGTGTCCACAGTGGATTTTTAGATTAAACGACCGGTATCCAATTCTAAAGTTTTCAGTTCAATTCTCTTACAAGAGAAAGAAGGTGTTCTGTGTGTTTAGTGTTAAAGTGAGTAGAGACCGTTAAAAATATTAAAACTTAAATGTTAAGATTCTTTAATATAAATCATCAGTCCACGCACTTCTGCCCTTTTAGTAAAAGTAAATTCAACCTTGACCGTGTCAACCTTGTTGCACCGGCTTGTCCTGTCCATAAATCTAGGTACAGTACACACTGGGACCGGACAGGTTGACCCGGCTCGGAAATTCAAATGTACTGCGGCAGCCCGTGAGTCATCACGTGCTGAATCTAATATGTAATCCTTCCGAGCTTTATGGGACCGTTAACTTGAATCCAAGTGACCCTTTAAAGAGTTATATGCCCAATTTACACACGCCCCCTTTAAAGGGAATGTAAGCGTAATTTCAAGTGACCCTCCATGCAAAGACGGAAATTAACGATACTGCACAACCGTATCCTTGAAACCTTTATTTGATCACTGTTAAAAAATGTTGAAGATATTACTTTTCTTGGCTTGAAAGTGCTCAATTCTGGCAATCACTAGATGTTTTTCGGCAGTAGAAATGGGCACTTTTGTCGGGAATCCACAATTGAAAATAATCAGTTTTCAAAATTATATAGATTGATATCTAATTCATACTTGATTCAAACATTGTGTGCATCATTATATTATTGAATTATTGGATATATGTTTGCGTTATTGTATTATTGTATTATTGTATTATTGTATTATTGTATTATTGTAATATTGTATTATTGTATTATTGTATTATTGTTTTATTGTATTATTGTATTATTGTATTATTGTATTATTGTATTATTGTATTATTGTATTATTGTATTATTGTATTATTGTATTATTGTATTATTGTATTTGTAGAAAACAATAATTAATTTTCCAATGTATGTGATAATGTGCTTGGTTGTATATATGCACGCAACTTGCAATAATTCTACATCAAGCGCGTAATATTGAACTGAATACGCGCGTAATATTGAACTGAATACTTATTGAACTAAATACTTACGTAATACTGAACTGCATATGCGCGTAATATTAAACTGAATACGCGCGTAACTAAATTAAAGCGGTAGCTTTAGAAGCCAGGCATCATCTTTAAAAAGATACTTCACCAAACTTGCTCAAGGTTTGTGTTTTTGCAAGAGTTATATATGGATTATGTATAGATAGATTGATATTTGATTATTTATTGATATTAATTACATTTAATCACTAACTTTATAAATATATTGACCTTTGGTTGTTTTGAGCAAGGCACTTGTAACAAAACAGCTGATGGTTGTGGTAATAAAAAAACTGCAATTTTGGGCGACTGCTTGGTAATACTTAGAGCTAAAGGAATCACTTTTGTGGATTCTACATTAGATTTTAATCTCACGATATTTTCATGTAGGGTGTCTATGGCCTTGCCTCAAGAACAGAAGAAAACTTAAAGAAAAAACATTTTTTTTAAACTCAGGCAGTTGAGAATATTACTCTGCAAAAGTAACTGATAAAAACGAATAGAGATTTTACTAATTGTTTTTAAAAATTGTATACTTCTAGATTAATAAGCTGATGAAAGACTTAATCAATAAGCTGATGACTGATTTTATAGTGAAGCTGGTAAATGAGTTACTGAATAAGATAATGATTAATGAATTAATGAATAAGCTAATGAATGAGTTTATTAAATAAGCTGATGAATGAGTTAATGACTAAGATGATGAGTAAGTTAATGAATAAGCTCATGAATAAGTTAATGAATAAGATAATGAATGAGGTAATAAATAAGCCGATGATTGAGTTTATGAATAAGCTGATGAATGAGTTAATGACTAAGCTGATGAATGAGTTTATAAATAAGCTAATGAATGAGTTAATGAATAAGCCAATGAATGAGTTATTGAATAAGCTGATGAATAAGTTTATGAATAAGCCGATGAATGAGTTTATGAATAAGCTGATAAATGAGTTAATGATAAGCCAATGAATGATTTTATGAATAAGCTCATGAATGAGTTAATGAAAAAGCTAATGAATGAGCTAAGTGAATAAGCGGATGAATGAGTTAATGAATAAGCTGACGAATAAGTTAATGAATAAGCTGTTAAATGAGTTAATGAATAATCTGATGAATGAGTTAATGAATAAGCGGATGAACGAAGTAATTAATAAGCTGATGAATAGGTTAATTAATAAGCTAATCAATTATTTAATAAATAAGCCGATAAATGAGTTTATGAATAAGCTGGTAAATGAGTTAATGAATAAGCTGATGAATGAGTTAACGAATCACTGATGAATGATTTCATGAATAAGGTGATGAATAGGTTAATGAATAAACTGATGAATGAGTTTATATATATGCTAATGAATGATTTAATGAATAAGCCGATGAATGAGTTTATAAATAAGCTGATGGATGAATTTATAAATAAGCCGATGAATGAGTTTCTGAATAAGCTGATGAATAAGTTAATGAATAAGCCGATGAATAAGTTTATGAATAAGCTGATGAATGAGTTAAAGAATAAGCTGATGAATGAACTTATGAATAAGCCAATGAATGAGTTAATGAATAAACTGATAAATGAGTTAACATATAAGCTGATTAATGAGTTGATAAATAAGCTAATGAATGAGTTAGTGAATAAGCTGATGAATAACTTACTGAAACGATAAAGAATGAGTAAATAAAGAAACTAATGGATGAGTTTATGAATAAGCTGATGAATAGGTTAATGAATAAACCGATGAATGATTTTATAAATAAGCTGATGAATGAGTTAATGAATACGCTGAAGAATATGTTGATGAATTAGTTAATGAATTTATGAGTTACCGGAAATAAGTCTCCACTGTTATAAACAAGGCTAAGTATGATTTCGTTGAACCCAAAACATTCCTCACAAATTAATCATGATGCGCGGACCGCATTTAGGCTTTTTATCAAATACTGACGCAATGTGGTGTATGCGTAGCACGACCCAGAAACAGATACAGCCCCATATTTATGCGTCATATTTCAAATAGGGTATATTTAAATAACGCCGAAATCTTCATTTTTCAAGCTTTGTTTCAGAATGATTAATTCATAAAACGTCTTCTTCATTAGCGCCCATTCTCTAGTATTAAACCTATATACTCTAAAATTAAACTACTATTAATATTGCAGGTTAGGCTCGTGTGCTTTTAAGATGAATTCCGGCCCGGAGCGATA